TTTTTTTTACTTTACTTTACTTGTACATTACCTTTACTGAGGTAGAGAAGAATATAGAATAGAATAGAATTACTTTATTGATCCCAAACTGGGAAATTGTGGCGTTACAGCAGCAGGTTGTCCAAACACACAATATGAGTAAAAAACACAATGTTAGAAAATCTAAACACAATATAATATTAAATACAGAGTAAATAAGCACAAAAAAAATCAACACTAAGAATGGGAATATATACAACCAGGATTTAATTTAGCATTAGTCTTAAATATGAAAGATTAAATCACCCTCTGCACACCCTACTGGACAAACAGCGGAGCAGCTTCTCCAACAGACTGATACAGCTCTGCTGTCACAAGGACAGATACAAAAAATCTTTCTTACCAAAGGCCATAACTCTGTACAACAGCTCACCTCATGTGAGCAGAGAACTGTCATCATGATAATATCTGTCTCTCCATACTGTAATCTGTTCTGCACATGTTACATTTACAAATTATCCCTGCACTCATGTTCACTTCATTTGTCTGTCTACTCACCGTTATATTGTATAGTTTCTGCTTATAATATGTCTGCACTCATGCACTTTAACTTATGTCAGTACTGTCCATTTACAACTCTGTATTTGCACATTTACATTTAATCTTCTATATTTAATTTACAACCATTTACGACTCTGTTTTTGCACATTTACAATTTAATCTTCCATATTTAATCTTTCATATTTAATTTACAACCATTTATGACTCTGTTTTTGCACATTTACATTTAATCTTCCATATTTAAGACTAGTAATGCTTAGTTAAATCCTGGTTGTATATATTCACATTCTTAGTTTTGATATTTTTAGTACTTATTTACTTTGTATTTAATATTATATTGTTTTTAAATTTGCTAACATTGTGTTTTTTACTCATATTGTGTGTTTGGATAACCTGCTGCTGTAACGCCACAATTTCCCAGTTTGGGATCAATAAAGTAATTCTATTTTATTCTAAATGTGTAAAAACAGAGTTGTAAATGGACAGTATGCAATCAGTGATACATAAATTAAAGAAAATACTTCAGAGGACACGAAGTCTTAATTGGATTTGGAGTCATCCTGCTTCAGTGTCAGGATTAGCATTAGAAAAAAAAAAAAGCATGAATGGAGAAGAAGTGGGGGATTCTGGGTAATGAAGTTCTCTCGGCGTCTAGCGGAAGTGACGCGGGTGTTGTGAAGCTCGTAGGTCGTCGTCTCCTCTCTGCCGTTAGTTGGATGAATCAGTCGACGTTGACAGTCCTCGGGATATGACTGTGTGCTTTTGTAGTAGGGAGCTAACTTTAGCTAGACCGTTAGCCGGTTGTCAGGTTGTTTAGGATTCCGTGTTCTCCGTTAGCCTTCCTGTTTGTAAACGATGACACTGATATAATGTTGTTTTTTATCGGTTTAGGGGGGAACTTAAGTTGAGCCAAATGGCTAACGCTAGCTAGCGTGTCATCAACTTGTGAATCAGATAACTTAGTCACCGTGTGGCCCATAACACCCTCTTCTTCTTCTTCTTCTTCAGAAAGGTGAGCTAGCTAAACGTAACACAGTCAGGTAGCATAGCAACGAACGTGCACAGAGTGAGCTAGCCGGGTAGCTTAGCATCGAGCTGACTTTACACAGAAGTTGATCAATAATAATAATAATAATACTAAAGCTAGCATTGTGAAGCTAGCTGTTTGGGGGATTCTGTCATAATGAGAACGGTTCAGTCCGACACGCTGGGATTTGTTCCTCAGAAAGACATCGTGTACAACAAACTGCTGCCCTATGCGGACAGACTAGACGACGAGTCAAACGATATCTTGAGTAAAATCAAAGGGAACTTGTGTCGGGCTGTGCAGCTCAGAGAGATATGGCCCGGTGTGCTCTTCTGGACGAGGAAACTTTCCACGTAAGTAAACACGAATCTTTCTTTTCCTAAAGTCTCCCTGCATGTGTTGATCTCTTCAGAATGCTTTCAGTGTAAACCTCAGAGAAAGTGCCACAGTAATAGCAAATTAATAATAATAATAATAATAATAATAATAATAATAATAACTTTATTTATATAGCACCTTTTAAAAACACAGGTTTACAAAGTGCTTTGACAAACAGCAAAAACAAGAACAAACTCAACCAAACACAGAAGAACATAAACAACAACAAGAACAAACAAATACTAAATACTAAAAATAATTAAATACAATTAAACAGAAAAGAACCCAAAGTGCACGATACCCAACAGACATATAGAACCAGACCATCACAAGAACCATCACAAGAACCATCATAAGAACCCAGGAAACACAAGAACCAACACAAGAACCCAGAAAACACAAGAACCATCATAAGAACCCAGGAAACACAAGAACCATCACAAGAACCCAGGAAACACAAGAACGCAGGCAACACAAGAACCATCACAAGAACCCAGGCAACACAAGAACCCAGGAAAAACAATAACCATCACAAGAACCCAGGCAACATAAGAACCATCACAAGAACCCAGGAAACACAAGAACCCAGGCAAAACAAGAACCATCACAAGAACCCAGGAAACACAAGAACCATCATAAGAACCCAGGAAACACAAGAACCATCATAAGAACCCAGGAAACACAAGAACCATCATAAGAACCCAGGAAACACAAGAACCATCACAAGAACCCAGGAAACACAAGAACCATCATAAGAACCCAGGAAACACAAGAACCCAACAACACGAGCTGAGACCAAGAGGAGCAAAGATTTAAAAAGATGTAAGAAACTAAAAGAGCTAAAAGCAAATAAAAAGATAAACAGCAATAAGAAGGTAAGAGTAGTAAAAGAAATAGAAACAAGTTATTAAATGATCAAAAAACCCAAAACTATAATATTAATAAATATGAAATATAAATAGACTAAGTAAGATAAGAAATTACCAAGTTAAAACATAAGAGGAGTTAAGATATGAGCATAAATAAAAGAACAGTAATAAGATAAAAATAGTAAAACCAGTAAGAAAAGACATTAAGAAGACGACATCACATTAAAGTATGTTTTAAGAAGGGATTGGGGTGGTTTAATTTGTAACAAATGTTTCATGTCATGTACGTCTTTGTAACCTGCTACTGGATGCTTTGAATTTCCCTCGGGATCAATAAAGTATCTATCTATCTATCTATCTATCTATCTATCTATCTATCTATCTATCTATCTATCTGTCTGTCTGTCTGTCTGTCTATCTGTCTATCTATCTATCTATCTATCTATCTGTCTATCTGTCTATCTATCTATCTATCTATCTATCTATCTATCTATCTATCTATCTATCTATCTACTCTTGCACACAGTTTTTGTTTCGTCTGTTATCTTCTCACTTCTTTCATTTTCTGTTTTGGGGAAGCCAAAATGCTTCCACACCTCGATTTAAAACACCGTGGTGTGTTCCCAATTTCAAAATCTTGCTCTACAGCTGCTGATATTAACAATATCAATGCGATTAATTTGTCAGAGTACTGATGAGAATCTTGACACCTATGAATCGATTTTTATCAGGATTTTAGCATTAATCTTTACATCCTTAGTACATACAGTTGCATGCATATTAAGTAGTCTTATGGCTGGGCGACATGCGTCAAAATCACATCTTTATATTTTTAGCTGAATGGCAATACACCATGTATATCTCAATATTTTTATCATTTGAAGAATATAACAAAAAGTCAGCTTTAAAGACTTGATTTTGAACCAGGCATAGGCAAGATCAATAAAACATCATTGATTGAATAAAATAATCACAATAGGTTTCAACGTGTAAAGGTGACATGGATGTAGCAATCTTGAGACAAACAGGTGATTCTGGAGTCCTTAAAAATGTTTGTTGGTCCCCTTCAGGCCTCAGCTTATTGCTGTAGGGTGACATTTAGCATATAATGTTTGCTAGGCTAACAGCTTGTCCCTGTTGCAACTGAACACTGTGGTGAATGAATTGCGTCTTTCACTGTAGCTTATCTCTGACGGTGCCGAGAGCCTGTATTACCCAATAGCCTTATGTGTTTTGAGGAGTGATTAAATGTTGGCTAACCATTTATGCCTAGAGACTACAAACCACCCTGTTGTACATGATTAGGGACAGTATGGGTTTCATAATGGGTACAGTAAACTGTTAGATACATAACCTGACCCTGGCAGTGCAGCACAACAGTAGGTCACTGTCATAACTGTTCTGGTGCTGGTTTTCTTTTCCTTTTTCTCTGTGAAGCAGCGAGTCAGATGATTGCTCATAAGATATAACAGAACAGTTATCTCGGAATTCGATTTTATGGACTTGTATTCGGTTTCATGTTAACTAGCTTCAGGGTATATTTCTTTTTGAACTCTGCTTTTGTAGAGAGGGTCATATAAGCAGTGTTGAACTTGTTTATCTATTGGAGGTTTAGTGTCAAACAGATAAGACATGCCATACCTTTTTCATTAGGAAGTGCAGGTCAAGAAATGTACCAACTGAGAAAAAGGAGAGTATGCATACTTTTTCATTTATCCTGTGACCAATAAAACACATTGCATTTTACCCTCTTTCTGCACTCACTAATCAGTTGTTTAGTAATGAATCCCCATCCAGCAGCAATGAAAATATTGTCAACATAAACGGTGGATTACTCTGGGTGCTGTTTCATTTTGTTGTCCTTCGTTGCTGGGCTGTCTTTAATCCGTTTCAGTCCCCATTGCTGGCGCGTCGCTCTGTCCAAGAGTGAGTCACTGCCGGCTCAGAGAGATGGAAAGTTTACTGTGGGGTTGACCCAGATTCGGTTCACTGGTAGTTTGGCATTTTAATAGTTATGAAATATTTTTTGATGGTCAATTTTAACAAGTCTTCACTAACTAAATGAACCTGTGTACACATATACAACTTTATATGAGATCTCACTTTGTTACAACATAAACACTGGGTTTGTGTTTTACACATTGTCAGCCTCACTGCCCGCTTATTGTGCATGTTGAACTTGTAGCACTTTCCCTGACGTCTGCTCTTCTTATGTAGGTACATGAGACTGTATGGACGAAAGTTCAGCAAAGAAGACCATGTGCTCTTCATCAAGTTGCTCTACGAGCTAGTGACCATCCCTCGACTGGAGATCAGCATGATGCAGGGCCTCGCTCGCCTTCTTATCAACCTCCTCAAGTAAGACTGGACCCCTTCTGTTTTGTTCCAACACGCTCTTGAATGTCACAGTAAACAATCCTTTTGAGTGTTTTTGTTTACCCTGAGGGTAACCCTAAGTAACATGATATAAAAGCTGCAAACTCACTTTCGATAATCCGTTGTGCAACATGATGTTTTTTTTTCCTTAAAGCCATTACGATGAGCTAGAATCTCTGTGCTTATTCCCGCCCACCTGTATGTCTGACTCTTATGCATCTTTATGAATCATTCATAGAAAAGTGATTCACATCTATCTGTATTTCTGATTCATCTCACAGGAAAAGGGAACTACTGTCGAGGGAGGACCTTGAGCTGAACTGGAGACCGCTGTACGAGCTGCACGACCGGATTCTTTTCTCCAAGACTGAGCATCTGGGCCTCAACTGGTTTCCAAAGTATGCTTCTGAACTTCTTCTATCCCTGTTATTAACATTTTTTTACCATTATTACTTATTCCTATACCAGAGAGGAGATCGATGCACAATATTTTAACTGTACACACTTGATGGTTGGCTTTTAGTAGCCTGTATTGTTAATGTAATTGTTTTAGATTTTATACCTGAAGTACATCGAGCTCCAGCAGAATGTGCTGTTGTGTTCACATTTATGTTTCTTTTCTCAGTAAAACTGAAATCTGTGACAATATAATTGTGAAGTGAGTAAGATGTATTTATTATTTGTACTAAGCATAAACATGGAGGATAATCATCTTGGGCTTTCTTTATTAACCAAAAAGTTGCTGGTCATTTTAAAACTGTGATTCCATTTTTACTCGGAGCACAGTTTTACTTTTCTTTTCTTTTTTTTTACGTTGTTTACCCACCGCTAACGCAACAAAACACCTAACGGAATATTTCAAGATTCTATCCACTGTGGACAAAAACAACGTTGTTCACAAAGTTAATTTTGTGGTTTGACGACTTAACTTTAATTCAATGTAAAAACAGAATATTTATTCCATCCCAGATTATGATATTATGATATTTTCCCATCATAAAGTGAAGTAGATCTTCGAGTTAGTTTTGAAATAACTCTTGTAGGATTGTCACAATAACAGATTTTTTTTCAACCTTTGATGCGATTTGTCAATATCGATACCCCGGCAACAAAAATAGAAGTCCTGGGCACCCAGTGGTTGGTCATTTCATGTTTATAATGACCAAAAATTACCAGCAAACACCTGCACACTGTGTGAATTTCACAAATACGTTGGCAACATTTTGGTACCCAAAGGTTTTCAACATATTCGTGCAATTAAGACAGTGCGCTCTTTCTTTGGTCGATAATAACACTGAAGAGCTGAAGCTCTTTTTAGCGTTGGTACTTTTTGATGCAGTTGGTCGTTTAAATAAAAAAGGAGATTGTAAAGTTGGTATCAAAAAGCATCAAACATCTCTTGGGTCATGGGTTTTACTGGTTCTAATAAAAACTAATTGTGGTTTTTGTATCGCTTGTTGGAGGAAAAAAGGGATCTCTTTGTTTCATCATTTCCTCTTACTGACGTCTACTATCTCCTTTAAACCCTTTTTAAAAAAATGTCCCATCGAGGTCCTTAGCAAGCAGTGCGAGGTGCTCTTTTATGGTGCCATGGGAACATTGTGTGTTTATCACGTCACAGCTGATGAAAACAAGCTGCTGCAGCCGATTGCCAGCTCACCTCTTTCCAAACCATACTAATGCCCACCAAACCCGTGATAAATTGTATAAGTTGATGCACAGTGTGTTCTCATTTAGAGGGATTGGCACTTTTTGTGTGCTGAATGTGTTCTTTATGCCTTTGTCTCCTTTCACATTCAGTTCTCCACGGCCTCGTTCATCCGCTAAACACATAATGCTAAAATTGGTTCAGAGGTGGTAAGGACAATACTTCTCTTTGTGTTTTATTTTGAATTCATCTTTTGAGGCACCTTTTTTTTTTTTTTTACATTGCATGTGAAGACAAAAAAAAAAACACCCCATATGAAGCTTGTGACAGAGGACAAATCAAGACTTAATCAATGTTAACATTTCACCCATATCGGAGACTGTCGCACTGCAGCTAAAAAGGTTTTTCTTTTAACCATTAGGCGTTGACAATGGACTGTTGTTTCTTCAATATTTTTCCAAGTATTTTTCATAATCTGTCATTTTATGCTTCTCAGTTTTTCGTCTGTAGTGGATTATGTGGCAGGGATACAGTGACATCATGAGAAGGAGCGTATACAGATGTAATGCAGTTAGAGACGTTAATGTTACCCAACATAACACGTTTTACCTCATAAGCTATGAAGTGGCAAAATACATTATTAATTTCTCAGCAATTATCTACAACCACACTTCCTAAAAAGTTGGGATGTTGTGTAAAATGTAAAAAAAAAAACAACACACAAAATGTGATGTTTTGCAATACAGTATCACCTCCTATTTAATTTAAAATGACACCAAGAGGGCGTAGGATACCCAAGCGGTTATGTCATGGCCCCCCATGTACAGAGGCTGTAGTCCTCTTCAGCAGCCGGGTGTTCGAGTCCAACCTTGGCCCTTTGCTGCATGTCGTCCCCCACTCTCTTACAACATTTCCTGTCTCTCAGCATTAAGCTGTCTTCTCCAAAAAAGTGAAAATGGCCTAAAAAAAAAAAACACATTAAGAAAATCGATCAAGTGTTGAAACTGAGACATTTCATTGTTTTTGGAAAGTTGTATGCTCATTTTAAAGTTGATGCCAGCAACATGTTTCAAACAAGTTGGGTCAGGGTCATGTGTACCACTCTGCTGCATCACTTTCTTTTTTAAGTGTTTTAGGAACTGAGGAGACCGTAAACTAAAGGAAAGATTTATTTTATTTTTGAAAGTGTAATGTTTTCCCATTCTTGCTTAATGTGGGATTTCAGCTGTTGAAAAGTTCAGCATCTTCTTCTATGACTCATAATGCGCCAAACATTTTCAGTGGGGAACAAGTCCAGGCTGCAGGAAGGCCAGTTTGTCCTCCTGGATTTTTTTTTTGCTATGGCACCATGCTGCTGTTATAGGTTCAGGATGTGGTTTGGCCTTGTCTTGATGCAAGGCCATCCCTAAAAATAAGTTGTCTATTTGGCTTAATATGTTGCTCCAAAACCTGTATATATGGTTCAGCACTAATGGAGTTTTCACAAATGTCCAGGTTACCACTGCCCTGTGCACTAATGCCCCCCCATACCATCGTGGATGCTGGATTCTGAACTGTGCACCAATGACACGCCGGATGGTCCTTCTCCTCTTAAGCTTGGAGAACGGGTCGGGCAGCACAGTCTTTCACAGAGTGGTGATCTCCTCTCCATCTTTACTTCAGAAAGACTTTCTTTATACCCAAACATGTCACTGACCTGTCCCCGTTAACCTCACTAACTGTGAGATGTTCCTTCAGATGTTTTTTTTTTTTTTTTTTTAAACATTTCACTACTTTTTCAGTATTTCAGTGCTACTGACCAATTTTCTTTAAACGTGTTGTTGGCATCAAACTTTAAAGTGGGCTTAACATTTTCCAAAAAAAAAGAATATTCTCCGTTTCAACATTGGATGAGTTGCATTTGTGCTATTGATAATCAATTATGGGATGTTAGTGTTTTGCTAATCATCACATTTTGTGTTTATGTACATATGTTAACACAACGTCCCCACTCGTTAGGAAATGGGTTTGTATATTTCAGCCCATGTTCCAGGGAGTTTCTGCTGTTTAATATCCCATCTCTTTGCTTGGTTTAAAGTTAGCCAAACATGCACTGCCATTCATTCAGCATTTTTAGGGCTAACAGAGAAGCTCTCGCTCTTGTCACGTTTTCTCCCCTTCTGGTATGTGTTGGGGCAAACGTGCAGGGTTTGAACTCAGATCCAAAGGTCATGTAGTCCAGTCCAGGGTTCCTTCTTCTCCATGAGTGCCCGAACACTTTGAAATAAGACACTCAGCTTGAGTAGTTCTTGTTGTTCTTGGACTTGGACTCGCAGAGCATGAGTTTGACCCGGGTCTGTGGTTTGTGTGTTGTTTGATCATAGCGCTAACCATTTGGAGAGACCCTTTCTATTTAGGTAGCAGCAGCTTGGATTGCAGTGTTGCCACAAATTCACCTATTGTTAGAGTGATATGTGGAGTATGTTAGTGCCAAATGGACTTGGGTGATGTGGGCATAAATAAACAGTTGTTGAGCGGGATTGGCAGGGCTTTTCCAACCAGGCATGGCTTGAGCTTGCATGTGAGCAGATCGGTGGGATTGTGGGTGGGAAGCTCAAAAGCTGAGGTTATATTGGTCCGGGGCTTTCAACACTGTTATGTGACCTGCGTTTGCGGTCTATATGTGAAGATAATCATGTCAGGAGTTTGTGATGTGTGAGACGTTTTATTATTAGTCCTTAATCCAGGAGCAGCTCTCAACAGCCAGGTAGAGCAGTGATGAAAACAAAGCAATGACATGAATGAACACATATCTACATCCACCACAATTCAGCCAGGAGAGTCAACCACTATCTGCAATCACTGTCTATATATATATAAGCCTGATGCTGCCGTTTTATAACTATTTCCTGGTCAGGTTTTTTTTCCATAAGGTGTGTAAAAAAAGTTTCTGTGTGCATGCAATCAAAGTCAAGTTGCATTGGTGTGGAGATTGTTTAACCCTAACATTTGTGTGTCAGTTTTTTAGTCGTTTGTTTCAGGCCATGACATTCCTTTTTATTTGATTTATTGCAGCTCCGTGGAGAGTGTGCTG